GGACTGACCTTCAGGGATTGGTGGGGGCCGGGTTCCCCAAGGACTGACGAGGCATTCGTGGGGGCCGGGTTCCCCAAGGACTGACCTGGAGGGATTGGTGGGGGCCAAGTTCCCCAAGGACTGACCTGGAGGGACTGGTGGCGGCCGGGTTCCCCAAAGACCTGGAGGGATTGGTGGAGGCTGGGTTCCCAAGGACTGACCTGGAGGGACTGGTGGGTGCTGGGTTCCCCAAAGACCTGGAGGGACTGGTGGGGGCCGGGCTCCCCAAGGACTGACTTGGAGAGATTGGTGGGGCCCGGGTTCCCAAGGACTGAACTGGAGGGATTGGTGGGGGCCAGGTTCCCCAGGACTGACCCGGAGGGATTGGTGGGGGCCAGGTTCCCCAAGGACTGACCTGGAGAGATTGGTGTGGTAGGGTTTCCCAGGACTGACCTGGAGGGATTGGTGGGGGCCGGGTTCCCCAGGACTGACCTGGAGGGACTGGTGGGGGCCAGGTCCCCAAGGACTGACCTGGAGAGACAGGGAGAAGGGGGTGAGGGAACCCTGTCCTGCATCCCACAGGAGCAAAGTCTTTGGTAAGAGTGTGTGGCGGGGAGCCTAGGGGGCCAGGTGAGGTGGGAGAGGTCGGCAGTGGGATGTGGAGGCCTGTGGGGATTGGGTGGGTGCCCTGCCAAGGTCAGGTGGTGGTGAGGTCAGAGGCCAAGGATTACAGCAGGTGGCAGCAGTGACTATGTGGCCTGGTGGGTGTAGAAAGGATGTGGGGGAAGTGCTCTGCTTGGGTATGAATTTGTAATAACAGACCACATGTGAAGAAGTTACACGTGGGCTTTTTTTCTGTTTCAGAAGTATCTTTTTTTGCCTTAAAAATGCATGTGATTTTATCTTTCTGCCACGTTCTTAACACAGCAAACAAACACCGTCGGGGAGGGACTTAACCTGTGTCTTTGCAATCTTGCCCCAGAACACAGCCACCCTCGCAGCCCTGGGCACGTGGCGGGAGGCAGCGGGGGCTCCTGGGCCCCTTGGACATAGGGGCAGATTGGAGCCAGCCCGCCGGTCACCAGGGGAGTGGGTGGGCAGGTGGGCTACGTGCAGGGGTGGTGGCAGCCATGGGGTCTATGTGTCTTTTAGTCCCTCCTGCTCTGCGTGGTCTCGTCCGCCCTCCCAAGAAGCGGAAGAAGCTGGCCTCTAAGAAGGCCAAGGTCAAGGTAAGTTTTCTGGGTCCTTGGTGATGCTGCAGGGCTCTCCTACCTCGTTCCGTTGTCCTAGGGGTGTGCATGTCCCTTGCCCTTGGGAGGTGGGGGAAGGGCCCTGAGAACTCGGCCCATGCTCTTGGGCTGCAGGTTAGTCGTGGGGGCAGACACTCCCTGGGCTGCTTGCCAGCGGCTTCAAGAACACATGAGGGTCTGCTCTGCCCCCGATGCCCGCCCTGTCTAGCGGGGACCACGCCTCCCATCTCTCCCAGTCTGTCTCCGCTGAACCCAATTTCCTGGCTAACCTGTGACTTTGCCCCGCAGAAGGCACGGACCCGGAACCCACTGCGCAGCTTCAGGCACAGAGAGGAGAGACGTAGGCCCACCGCTGTGCCTCCCTGAGGCTGTGCGTGCAGCCTCTGGTCTTGGGGATGCCTTCTGGGGCTGAGCAGGGAGCGGAGGCCAGCTTCCCGCCCTGGATGGTCTGGATGGTGGGGCAGGCAGCGCCGTGGTGGTGCTGGTTCCTGGTGCCACCAGGCTGGCACTTTGTTCCTCGACAGAATAAGGATTCTGGTTGGCCTGGCCTGTGCTTCCTCTCTGTGTGAAGGTATGCTCATCCCTGGAAACCTTGGGAATTAAACCGAATCCAGGAGGCGGCGCCTGGCTCTCTGCCTGCTGCGTGTGGTACCTGCCGGGCCAGCAGAGGTCAGCCGTGCGGCGCTGTGACCCACCTCGCCTGGGTCTCTGGCCCAACCACTGCCGCGCCCAGGACTTGGGATGACCTTGCTCCCCTGGAGCACCACAAGGAGGCGGGCCTTCCCAGCCGTGAGCCCCACACCTCCCCCTCCAAGCCTGGGTGCGTCGTAAATGCCTCCCGGAGGCAGGGAGCCCAGGGAGTCGTCACAGGGTGTGTGCATGTGCAGCGTTCCAGGCTCTCCACCCAGCCAGAAGGCCCCAGAAGGAGCAGATCCCAGCGTCTGCTGCTGTCCAAAGGCAGGGGTCTCCCTCGTGCCGTGTCCTGGTGTGACTGTCACCTGCTGTGGGCCTTGTGAGGCCGGGCTGGTTGGGAGAGAACATAGGGCAGCGAGGAAGCTGTGTCTTTGCTTCCTGTGAGGGTGTGGTGGCGCTTGGGGTTGCTGGGGCTTGACCTTTCCTGCTGCTGTTGCATTTGAGGGTTTCTGAGGTGTGCTGGTGGGGCTCTGTGAGCGAGCGCGGGGGGCCACTGGGGTTCCAACAGGCCTGAAGCTTCTTTATGAGGCGGGGAGGAGCCGAGGCCTGGCCCTGAGCACAGGAGGGCCCTGGGTGTTCTGGGCTGCCTACGAGGGCACAGCAGCCTTCTCCCCAAGGTTCCCTGTCCTTTTGACCCTACCACCTCCACATGCTCCTGGCCAGTGAGCTTGCAGCCTGGATCCAGGTGCAGGAGGGTTTGGGTCCAAGGGGACTGCCCTGGGCCTGGTCCCCACTTGGAGACAGAGCTGAGGCTGTACACCTGTTGTCTTCAACAAGCTCTGGAGAAGGCCGGTCCCCATTCTCGGGTGGGAAGCAGGGTTCAGAAGTTCCCGGCGCACTGAGCTCACGGGGCAAGTGAGGGCTGGTGGATGGGATGTGGGCCCTGTGCTGGCCCAGCGGCCACCCCAGTGGAGGAGCAGCTGGCCTGGCCAGCACTCTGACCACCATGGGGCAGGTGCCGTCTGAGGCACGTGGGAGCTGGGCTGTGCTGACGCACCCCTCCCTGAGCTAGAATGTCAGCCAGCTGGGGCAGTGGAGAGAGTGGGGCATCCCTGCACCCTGACGCCACAGAGGGTCATCTAGTCCCCACCCCACCCTGGGGATAGGCCTTGCTGTGTCCATTTACTTAATTTACATGTGGGGAAACTTAATTTACATTCTGGGGCTAGACTTGTCCATCCAATGTGTGTCCAAACCAGAGCCGGACAGGCCCTAGGGATGTGGGCGTGTGGGCGGACACCCTGGACCTAGAAGGGGTGGGGTGGGGTTGGGTGAGCCTGCAATAAGCCTGAAGCATAAGGCTCACAGCCGAAAGGTCGGCAGAGTGCAGGGACCATGTCACCCCAAGCCGGCAGAGTCACACCCACACGGACGCCTGAGTGGGTGCTTCTGGGAGGTGGGAATCCGCTCTTCACTGCACCCGAGCCGCAAACCACACACTTGCTGGGACCTGCCAGGTGCAGGGGTGGGGTGGGGGGCTGGGCAGCGTGCTGACTGAGACAGACCTGACTGGAAACAGCCTGTGGGATCCTGACGCATCTGAGGGCGAAAAGAAAACAAAGTGGTGTCTTCCAAATAGGGAAAGGCTGAGGAAGTAATTTATTTCTGAGATAAGAGTCCTGTGCTAAGTGCTGAGAAGCTGGAGGGAGGAACAGGTGGCTTTGGAGCAGAGGAGCATCCGGATCAGATAGCCGAGGGGCCGTGGAGATAAAGGACGGAAGAACACTGTGCTCCTAGAAACCTCTGGACCCAGAGTGTTTCCAGCTAACTGATACCCATCTGCCGCGGGCCAGTGACTCAGGGGAACGCGTTCCAGGCACTTTGGTCCCTAGGGGCAGGGTCCCTGAGAGGTAGGGGCAGTCCAGTGGGGTACGTGCAGGGAGGCACCCTTGCCAAATGCTGGCCTCTGTCCTGCAGAAGGAAGTGCTGGGGTGCCCTGTTTCTGTCTGTCACAGCAATTTGTGCATGCACAAGGGGGTGGTGCTCACGCACCTGCGTGGGGAGTGGGCCAGGCACCACTGGACAGATGCCTCTCGGGACATTAGAGTTCAGTGTCTGCTCGCCCACGAGCCCACCAGCAGTCTGTCCACTGAGCAGAGTGGGCACATAGGCAGGGGCTCTTTGTGACACTGCGGTGCGCCGGCCCAGCTGGCTTCCAGGGGGGGACCTCGCCTCTCTTGGTTTTCCCCTGTGTCTCTGTGAGTGGAGTGAAGTGACCCATCCAAGTGTTCCTGTGTGGGACATGCCCACGGGGGCTCTGCTCACGGCACCCCTCCCCTCACTTCTGCGGACACCTGAGGCACAGGCTTCCCCTTACGATGCAGGGATGTAGGTCTGAGCCACCAGGTCTCGGGCAGGGCCTGGGGCTCTGTGTTCCTCACGACCTTCCTGCCAGGGGAGGCTGATGGTGCTGGGCTCAAGACCCCTTGAGAGGTGAGCTTTCATGTCTATGCACCTATCCCATTCTACAGATGGGGAAACTGAGGCTCAGAGAAAAGCCAGGCCAGTGGCACCTGGCTGAGGGACAGACTGGGCTGGTGTTGGGATCTGCGGACCCCACTCTGGAACCCCAGGTGAGAGAGCTCAGGTTGAGTCCTGTCCCATCCCTTGTCGAGCCTGATCATCTGTAACATACGTGATGAGGGCTGTCACTTTTTAGCATAAGTGTGTCCCGTGCAATGTTATCCATTGTCTGAAATTCAGATCTACCTGGCTGACCTTTTTTTTGAATTTTTAAAAAAATTTTATGAGAGATTGAACACAAGCAGGGGAGGGGCAGAGAGAGGGAGACACAGAATCTGAAGCAGGCTCCAGGCTGCAAGCTGTCAGCACAGAGCCCAACGTGGGGCTCGAACTCATGAACCATGAGATCGTGACCTGAGTCAAAGTTGGATGCTTAACCAACTGAGCCACGCAGGTGCCCTTGACCTTTTCTAAATTTGGAAGTTCCCTTGCTAGAGCACAGCCTTGTCCAGCAAGCCCTCCTGACTCCCCACCTGAGCTGGCCACCCTCCTCTGTGTCTCTAGTACGGACTTGGCCGTCCTGCTGTCCACCTTGGGATGCAAGACCCAGAGGTAGGGGCTCGACTAAGGGACTGTCCTGGTGCCAGAGGCTCCTGACTGTTTACAATGAAAAGTGAAAGGAAAGGATGTACCGACCGGGCTGGACTCTGCCCTCTGACACAGCGGGTTGGACGCACCTTGTGTGTCCCCTCCGTGACTCAGGGCGGAGACCATGGGGCTGCCCCAGCCTGGGGCTGGCTGCCAAGCTGTTGGGTATCTATCTAGTGACGTCAGGCCCACCCCCGCCTGCCCTTGCCCATTCCCTGGATGGGGGCTGTGGGACCCCTGGCTGGTGACCTGCTTCAGGTCCCTTCGCCGCCCAACTCAGCTCCAGATTAGAAAGTGCAGGGGCAGTGCCAACAGAGACCACTATGGAAGGGCTACTGTGAAGTTGCCTAGCCAGCTCCAAGGGCTGGGAAGGACACGAGGAGCCACATGCTTGTCAAGTAGAGACTAGGCATCAGGGGTCAGCTTTCCGAGCCTTGTCCCCACTCAGCCCGGGTGCCTGAACTCCAAGCCCTGTTTGGTGGTCTGACTTCTGTGTTCTCAGCCCTGCCCACATCTTGTCACGTTAACATCTAACGTCTTCTTTTGCCAGATCCTGGAGATGGGCCAGGGGTGCCCATGGAGGCAGCAGTGAGGGATGGATTGTCCTAGCTGCCCGTCCAGGGAGTCCTCGGGAAGGACCTGAGGTCTGTCCGTGTAAGGGTTCTATAAAGCAGACAGCTGGCCTCGCTGCTGGCCCTTCCCCACGTCAGCAGTGGCCTTGGAGGAGTGGGCTCCCTCCTGAGATGCTGGTGGCTGCCCCATGGGCAAGTGGGAACAAAAGAGCAGACAGCCTGAGCTCTCGAGCTTCTGCAGCTGTCAGTCCTGACTGCTGCTGAGCTCCAGGGACAAAGGATCTAATCTGTCCACTGAAATGTCTTGATGGGACCCTTATGTGTGTTCAGGATCCCTGTACCCAGGAACCAGGAAGTCAGCCTCCAGGAGCAGGACACACACAGAGAAGGCAGCCAACCAAGTGCCATGCTGGGTGGAGCAGGGGAAGCACGCTGGAGTCTGGGTGGTGGGTTGTTTTGTTTGTTTAATTTTTTTTTTTAAATTTTTTTTTCAACCTTTTTTATTTATTTTTGGGACAGAGAGAGACAGAGCATGAACGGGGTAGGGGCAGAGAGAGAGGGAGACACAGAATCGGAAACAGGCTCCAGGCTCCGAGCCATCAGCCCAGAGCCCGACGCGGGGCTCGAACTCACGGACCGCGAGATTGTGACCTGGCTGAAGTCGGACGCTTAACCGACTGCGCCACCCAGGCGCCCCATAACGTTTATTTATTATCGAGAGACAGAGTGTGGGCAGGGGAGGGGCAGAGAGAGAGGGAGACACAGAATCTGAAGCAGGCTCCAGGCTCCGAGCTGTCAGCACAGAGCCCGACGTGGGGCTCAAACTCACAGACTGAGATCATGACCTGAGCTGAAGTCGGATGCTCAACCGACTGAACCCCCCCCCCCCAGGGGCCCCTTGTCTGTTTTTAAGTTGGGTGAGTTCCTTGGTTATTTTAGGAGTTCTTTATATATTCCAGATACTAATTCCTTATCAGATATGTTTCTGAT